CATTTAAAAAAATTTTCTGTTGCCAGGAACCTAATCTCCCATCAGTTTCTGTGTAGTAATACAATCAGCAAACTTGCATAACTTTGAAAGGCATGCCAAATGACACTGCAGGAACAAAATTTTGGGAAAACTGGTGAATGCTAGCAAGCAGAGGACAGAGCCCCACAGTATACAACAAAATTACCATTTTTGCACCTTCCAATCTGATTATCAAACCTTTTTACATTTTAAACTACCACACAACTTTAATATTACTATTATTTTTTTAATTCTTTAACACAGTAACTCTCTATGGTTTTACCTCTTTCAAGTTGGACCACCAAAAACAACTGTTAAATTGACTTTCATTACCATAAAGCTATCTCTTTTGTTCAAATTTCCATAAAATATATAATCTTCTTTATTTCTAGGAAAGGTGCAATTTACTTATTCTAACAGTTTAGTTTCATTAACTGACCTAAATATGCCATACATTCCGCAGCAGTCAACTTTTATGCTCAAAATAAATATACTATTCCTCATATTCTTTTGTCTATGCATTTGTAAAAACTAATTTGGTTTTAGCTGTCAGTCTCACCCCCACCCTGTTTCTATGACAACTAGTTCTTCAGAAAACTGTATTTAATATTTTAGTTTGTTTGCATATAACAGTAGATCTGATATAATTTGGAGTTGCAAAGAGTACTACGATAATAGGATAATTATATCCTTCTCCATATATGCATGCAAAACGTACAAATTGGAGACAAATCCTGGCAGGTTATAGTAAGGATCTGCAAAGATATTATAGTAAGGATCTGCATAGTTAGTACAACAGTTAATTCAAGCACTCTTGTGCAGCAATTAAAACTACCTGCACTTGTATTATTAAAAAACATAAATCACAAAAAAGGCTATAACCTTTATTTGCCTAGTATATGACTTCCCGTTCAAAATACACTAGTCAGGCATCAAGTTCGGCAGCATGTTAAAAAATTTCACCTTTCCAAAATTTCAAAGCAAAATTTTTACAATTATTTGTGTACTCATGCTTCTGAGCAATGTTAGCAGCACTCGGTTTTGGAAACAGACTGCTGGCACAGTCTGCCTAATCAAAATCAGATAATTTTTTTCTAAAAATTCCCTCTTAAGAATTGCATTTATAACATATGCAACAACTCATACAGAATAGATTTCTTTTTTACTTGGTTTTGTTTAACTAGGCTTTGTTTTACAGGACATACAGTTTACTCACATCAGCTGTTGCTGACGGAAGTGGTACATCACACATCCAAAAGTGGTACATCACACACTACCTCATCAGCTGTCACTATAGTTGGTTGTCTTTTTAATAATTTCTTTTTTCTGCCATTTTATTGCAGATTTGATTATAAAAACTACTGAATTTTTTTTATTTTATGAAACCATTATTACTGAATTATAGAGCTATTGAAATTTGGAACTGCATACCAAAAATGGTTCTATGTTATCTTACAGAAGCATGTGGAGAATGTAATGAAAGTGCCTATTTTTTTTACTATGCTGCACAAGATTCGTAACGTATATATTTGAATGATTCATAAAAACAGCCTTTTAAAAGCACTCTTGCTTTTATTTTATAAAACTGGAAAGAATCTAATGAAATTAAAAATTTAATTGGTCATTAAATTAATTAATGGAATCATTTTCATTTATTTATTCTGTGTTATTTGTATTTTATTTTCATATTTAAAAATAACATTTTATAGGTGCCATCTAAGAAATAATTAACAAACTAAAATAGGTAGATTGCATATTACATCATTACCAAACTCTCTGCAAAGTTACCCATAAGAAAATTCCAACCTGTCTTTTATAAGCTATTTTCCATGTGATCATTTGATATAGTGTCTACACTCATTGGTCCCAGAAAGGTTGTTTAAAGCAGGCAGCTCATATTTTCATCAAGATTTGTCTCCATGCCTCAAAGCTCTATCGATAATTGTAAGGAAAAGTGCAATGCACTGTACTTAAGAAAATATATTACTTTATCCAGAAAATAAAATAAAATAAAAATACTGTTAATCACAATATTACAACCTAGTGGGGGCTTACAGATTTGCTGACAGTTATTAACTGTACCTTCTAAAGTGTACTCGTTTCATGCCCATACTGTAGAATCAAAGTAATTTTTTCTTGCTAAATTTTATTAAATATTTATGTACAAATTACATACATGTTTTTAATCAGATTTATAGATGCTGCTTTGTATGAATTTTTGAATTAGCCAGCCATTCATTTAACCTGTCCAAGTCCCACAGAGGTATTTTAATCAGAAGTCCACTGTATTTGATTGTTTTACTAAATATGTTCATATAGCTTTTCTAGTCAGTTAAAAACTACCCACTAAAAAACGATAAAAGCACCGTTTATTCTTTCCCATAACAATGCATAAAAGACTAACTTCACTTATGATTTGAGTCTCTTAATCCTTTAGAGGATTGTTTGTTGGTTTGGTAATTAAAGCAAAACACACAACATCTTACTAATAGAAAATTCATACAGGAATTTTAAAGTTAAATCGTCTTGTTTTATGCATGCTTTGCATGAAAAAAAATTACAGATAGCCCAAAATTTTTCATATACAAAATTATCTTTATACAAATGTACACCTGGGGGTAGAAAATAAAATTGTGTTTCAGACCTACTTTGTACAAGTATGGGAAAAGATTTCTATTATTTTACAATTAATTCTCTGATAGCTATATATCATGTAAATAGTTAAATTACCAATGTTAGGCTTTCTTATTCACTCAAATGCTAGTAATCAAATTAATTAGGAGGCAAGAAATAAAAAAAAAGGAAAAGAATTTCTCATTTAAGACTTTTAATAAATTTTGAACATTAAAAAATATATATATAAAAAAATTCTAGATTTAAATTATTACAGTTGTATTATGGACAGTCCGTCGAAACTGAATACAACATTCAAATGCATGATTATGTGACTCCATAAACTTGGATCTTCATAATAAATACATTACAAATATATCAAAAGTTAAGCTGAGAATGAATCCTTTACAGCCTTGCAAGATGTTTATACTCAGAAATTTTGATCAGAAGAATATATATATCATAGCTCAAGACTAAAACTGTCACATCTTGTGTTTGGAATCGAACATTTTAATTAAATGTTTATATAATGTTCACATGGCCAATTTTACTTCCTAATTAACAAAAATCCTCAAAGAACTCATACCTTTGAAGTTGAAATTTTTGCAATTTAATTTATTAATTTAGAAAATTTTTAACTTTTTAGATGACGGCAATGTAAAATAACTGGAAAAAAAATGCCATTATATATTCAACAAGATCCTTTATTTACAATAAAGAATTCAAAATTGTCTATTTCTATTTTTAAATTATCTAGTTAACTGAATAAACCTGATAACTTTTCATTCAAGGAAAATATAAATATTAAGGAGAGATACTGTTAATATTACAGCAGAAAATGAAATTAATCAAATATACATTCATTATAATAAATAATCCTGAAAATAATATATTTATATTTCTGCAGTCTTGTGTATACCACTACCTCTAATTTATAGATAAAGGGTTCTCCACCTTTTTTGCCCCAAGCCTCCTTTCACCATTGTTACATGATGATTCCAGCTTCTTTCCAAAACTTAAAAATTGCATACATATTTATTTTAAATTTAGATTATTTTTTAAATGTTTTTCATAAAGAAAACATATAGAAAATGCAATACCCAAACTTGATTTAAAAGTAGATTGTTACATTTATAAGCGAAAACTAAGTACTTAACAGGTAAATAAAATGATAACTGCATTCCTTCCCCTAAAACATCGAAATTCTCCCCCCCCCCGATCAAGAACTTTTGTTATAGATAATGGCAGTCTTAATTCTAGGTGTGAAACTACAATCAGCACTAATGAGATTTAACACTAAATTAACAAATACTCTTTCAAATGATTTATTCCATATTCAAAATGACACACTGTTTGTTTATAGCTTGATATAGCTGATATAAAATTCTAAGAGAAATACCTAATCAAGGATTAAATCACAATACTTCATCAGTAAGATATCACATTACAAGTACATATATACTTCAAAAATCTTTGGGAGAATAAAAAAGGTTCATTCATATCAGCCACAACAATTACTTTAATCTTTCCTATTTTTTCATTAATTACGCACAAAAATAAACAAATTTCTAATCATAAAACTGAAATTAAATACTAAAAATTAAATATCCACAGTATTAAAGTTTCCATACGAAAACACGAAATAAGACACAATGAATTGTACTAACTTCCATTAAATTAATTCACATTTTGCTTCGTTGAACTTGAAACATAGCCGGAAATTGTTTTTACGCTTTTCTTAGCCCCCACTCAAACTAAAATTGATCTCCATCTTATTTCGAAAGGCATATGAAATATAAAGCTGTATAAATGAATACAGATATAAATTCTCTTTGTCTATAATTACAAAATACATTACACCCATGACTAAATTTTAAAAAATTTAGAAATATATATATAGATAGATAGATTTAATCAACAGAAATTATTTGATCTCATCAGAAAATCCCAGAATTAGAAAACATTCTATGATCACAAAGCTAACGCTTGTGCTTGAGATCTGAATTTAATAAAACTGATAATTTCATACTCGATAACAAACTTTTAACCTGATAATTTGAGTCACTCAAGAGACAAGACAGATAGCCAGAAAATACCACTAAGCCTAATGCCGTGTCTTACAAGGAAAACACCCTAACTAATGAAAAATTAAACAGGTATACATAATGATCCCGTCTTCAGCTTCTTCGGAGATTTCCCCGTAAACTGATAGAACAATCATCTTTTATTTTAAGCAATTAAAGTGAGGACTCAAGCGCTAAGTTCTGAATACAGAAATAAGAATGACGCAAACTCTCACAGCCCGACCCCTATTCATAGCGGAGAGTGGGTACCGCATTTTGCAAACTACACAAATATTGGTGGCTTACCTCTTGCGTATGTCGAGCAGACGAAGCAAGCGATGATAATTCCAAGATATTTCATGTTTAATACATGTAAATGATCACGGTATATCCAGTTCTAATAAGCCTAAAAATAAAGTTTTTATGCTTTTTCAACCACTACAACACTTCACAAGTTTCTACTGACTGCTAACCGGATCGCTTGCTGCTCTCGCTGCTTTCGTACATTCCGGGGTTGCCACAGGTAATATCAACTCCGTCGCCAGAACGTCCTTGGCGTGTTCGTGTAATCGCCAAGATGTACCGGCAGAGAGAATTTCAAGTGACAGCTTGCAAGGCACTTAATTGTTATTAAATGACATTAATTACTTTATCATTCCGTGTTTTGTGAGGCATATCATTTATCTTAAAGCATATTATGATAGATCTTATATTTTATGATAGATCTCTCACTAAATACATTTCCTTAATATAAATTCTATTCTATAAAGGAATTTCACGATTTTGTTTTTTTTTTTTCGCCAGACTACTGCAAAAGTGACCTCTAAGAAATGCAGAATGACCCATATTTTCAAGAACTTTTTTGTTCCTTCTGAAAAACACATTTTTGAATGAATTACTGAATATTTTATATGAATGTTAGTTTTAAAGATTTCTTTTGATATGGCATAACTGCGCCGGCTGTTCGATTTTATGTCGCCCAGTATCGTAGTTACACTTTTTGCCCTCCCCCTTTCAATGTACCCGAAAAATCAAACATATGACATATTTCCCTATATGACATTAAAATGACATATAGGTAAATACATAAAAGGCCTATGTTAATTTTTAAAATAAAATTTTAAATCCAGTATTTTACAGTGCTATTTTGCTTTTTTTTCTTTTAACAGCATCGTCGATGACATTGTGTAAGCTTGCTTCATAACACAAATTGATCTTTTCTACACAGTACAATTTTATTAAAAACACGATACCGATTTTTAGATTTTAAATTCTTTTTAACCGATTTGTATCTAGATTTTTTTTTTTTTTTTTTTTTTTTTTTTTTTGCTTTGATTATGGTAAAACACACTAGTACTATTTGCCTAAGAGGAGGGATGCCTACGTAGAGGACTTTTTAAAGGAAACTGGCCCATACAAGTGAGTGTAGAAATTATTTGTACAAGACTGGTTTCGCGAAAGAAACTATTGTTCTGATGTTCTAATTTTATCGAAACTTCTTCAAAAGGCAATAATTAATTAAAAAAAAAAAGCTGAAGTGTACATACATGATTTCCTTGTACGGAATATTAAATTATACGCATTTTTTCCTGCATTTAATTTAAACTTACTTCTTCGAATTTCATTAGAGATATATTTCTCATTCAATTAAATCAGTTCTCACTTCGCGGCAAGGCAAAAATACATAAAAACTGAAAATATTTTTATTAAAAATTGAAATCCATAGAAAAACATAAAACACCGAACACAGTTAAAACAATTTTTACAACTAAAATTACAGTTTCTATGCAAAAACAAGCAATTCGGACTGCAGGCAAGAAGAGAGATTTTTCGTTGCACAAAACTAAAAGTATTCTTTTTGTCCCCCTCGCCAGAAAGACTCTGAAAGTGCAGGAAGACTTAATTCACTATTCTAAGTGTCAAATATAAACAAATATGGCTGTTATGGTAAACAAAAAATTAGGCTTAGCAGCACTTAAACAACATTTTAAATCGTTGATTATTCTACATCTATTGCATGCAGATTAACTAAAGGCATAAAATCCTTAAACGGAAGATAAGAACAACATAATTCAATCACTTTTAAAGCAAAAAATACACAATTTACCAACATATAAGGCAAAAATATGAGCTTACTGAGCCGAGTAACAGATTGGGTATCTATAGATATATAAATATGTAAGATATAACAAAATACGATTGCTGCTTTAAAAAATGATTGGCGACCTCAAAGTTAGTTCTCCCAAATTCGAGATCTAAATGTTACATAACAACCTAAAATTAACCAATCACAGATTAGCTGTACTTATGCATCATACTTAGTATAAATACTCTTCGCAACCAACTACATCATTCCTTTCCGTAACTTCTATCTTGCTAACATCTTCTTGCTGCTTTGGTTCCCTGTCTAAGATGCCTACGTCGTAGTTTTAAAACCAATGTAAATAAAAAATATCGTATTTAACTATGATTGGATAAATGCCTTGTCTACAAAATTGTTCCGATGTGAATTACCATGTAATAAAGTTGTGTTTTGAAACCGCCACATCTGGAAGTTACAGGTTTTTGCATCTATCTCTCTAACTACGCACTTAAAATACTACATTATATATATATATATATACTGTTGGTGCGGCCGATTACAACCAAAAAGGGAAATGCACAACTACATGTTATAGCAGTCCTGTATACAAAACTGCAATGTTCTGAGGCTACTCGTTTTTCAGTTATGCGAGATACATACATACGTACGTACGTACAGACGCCACGAAACACATATCTCTTCTGAATCTATTTTAAATCAGTTTTATAATTCGTTCGCAGAAAAAGAGTTCTTTATTCTGTTCTTACGTACAGATTGGATGCAAAAACATCGTTAAACTGCATTCGATAGCGGTCAAAATGGATACTTTCGTTGAAATATGGTACCCAGAATTTTCGGTGATTACAATACTTCTTTTACTTCGTACAAGGAAGTGAAAATTACCAAATACCAGTACAAAAAAAAAAAAAAAAAAGATATTGAATTAGCTTTCAAATATACGAGAAACTAAAAATTGGGGATTTATTGGCACTTAAAAAGTAATCGTACATTCAAACAAATGTAAAATTTTGGTAATATTTTCTATTGGTTTAATCAGTTTTTCGTTGATAACTGATATCATTTATATTGCGGGTTATATAAAATGGCGGGTATAACTTTAAATGTGAAGAAACGTAACTTTTTATTATGGATCTTAAAAGTGAAGAAACGAGTATTTCTAAAAGATAATTAATCTTAAAGCTTCATAAAAGGCTAAATTGTACAACGAAATTTTAGTTATAGTCGGTAGACCATTTGTGCAGTCGATTATTCAAACGTTTATTACCTCTAGAAGAGTGCAAAATAGTGCTCGTTCAGGCCGATTATTATCTACTTACTTAGCTTATATCCGTTAATAGATGATTTCTGTCAAGGTCGTTGGAGAAATATCCGAAAGAAAGTGCTTCCAAGCTCACAGCAGAATTGAGACACATGGGAAGAGCAGTATCCGTAAGTACAATTCGAACTGTATGCAGAAAACAAGGTTTTCATTGCCATGTTGCGAGAAGAAAATTCTCTGTGACTGAGAGCAATCGGAAGTTGCGATTATCCTTCGTCAAAAAATACGTCAGTGAATGTCCAGAACATTATGGAAGAACATTATTTTTTTCAGACTTAAGTAAATTCAATATTTTTGGATAGGATGGGAGGCGAATGGTGTGAAGGAAACGAAATCCAGAAATACATCCAAGGAATTCCGGGGTCGGTAATTTAATTTAAAAATTATTATTAATGGCACTATGAATCTGCTATACCTTCATATTTTGAAAAATAATTTATGATCTATTGCGACAAAAATGGGTTTGGATAGTGAATATTTTTCTATGAATGATAATGACCCCAAGCATAGAGCCCTAAATACAGCACTCTGACTAGTGGCACTCCAAAGTTTAGGAAATTTTCTCCTCAGTCACACGACCTCAATCCATTGCGAAATTACGCGAAACTTTTGATAAAAATATTAGATCCAGGCATATTTAAAATAAAAGTGACTTAATGACTGCTTTTAAATAAAATCGCAGTCAGCAAATTTGATCGAAAAAGTGCTAAAGAGACTCGAAGCATTTATTCTTTCTAAAGGATATCCTAGGATATTCTATAAAGTATTAGTTTAAATATATTGTTACGAAATGTAAAGGCGCGGTAAGGTGGCTTTCCCGTAAAACAGTTTTAGGGTTGCCATAAAATGGCAAGGAAGGCAGGGTTGCCGCATTTAGCGAAAAATCGCCCATTTGGCGATATTTGGCGACAAAATTGGCGATATACCACGGACGGTTGGAGAACTTTCTGGAACGAATTCTTACCGGTTTAGTCCAAAATGTTCCCGAACACAAGCCGAAACCGTGCTGGTCTGCAGTCAGAAGAGTGTCTCTCTCATCGAGAGTGTGTGTGCCTCGTCTAGCGAGTCAATCCCGAGTCAGCTGGGCAGCGAGTGCCGAGTGGGTCGTCGAGTCCACCGAAGAAGTCTGTTAGTATATCGCGGTTAGTGCGTCGTCGAGAGAGCGTGTTGAGCTCTGGGAAAGACTGAACCGAAGAGTCAGGAGCTGTGCTCGTGTGTCGTCGAGTGCATCGCGAGTTGTAGCGTGGAAAGTCTCGAGTTCCGAGAACGACCGAGCAAGCTGTAACTGGGCCCGAGTTCGAATTTCAGAGAAGGCTTGGGGGGTTGTAAGTGTATAGTGTCTATGCGGTATCTAGGCACTTAATACTGTTGAGCCTCTCGAGAGGCTTAGGGTAGGTGGAGAGGGACTGGAGACCCTCGGATCCATTCTCCGGGTACTCTCCATCAAAAACTGGGGCAGAACTTCTTCGTTTTGACGGATATAAAATCGGTCACCCCCTGTGGCGCACCTTATGATGAGACGGCTAAGTGACCGATGGGTATCGGTCATTCCATTTCTAAAATGGGCATTCCAAATACATTCAGGAGCAAGTGTCCGTTCGTTTGAAACAACAGCAACATGTTTGGTGCATGGCCGAGAAAGCTAGTTGATATCTAAACAAAGTTAAAACACCTTCCTCGTGTTGGTCTGTCTAACGACAATTATCACTGAGATAGCGATATTTCTCATGTGTCGAAAAGGAAGTTCCTTCTTGCTATAATATAAAACTTTCTGAATCATTTCCTATTTGAGGAAATAATTGCGGTTGCAGACTATCAGGATACGATCGTAATATTCAGGCAAATTCAGAAAAAAGGCCTATAAAACTTTGCGTATAAAACGGCACAGAATACACTTAGCTTTTGGAAATCCTGTTTCTGTTCAACGAAAGATCATGATAACGTAGATGAACGGAGGATCACGACGAAGAAAGAGGCATGACAGCTTTCTATTATGTGTCTGTGTGAAACAACGTGGCAGCTTGCCATTTCGCACGTATGAAACTTCGTTTCGTCACTGATTTTAGAGGG